ACAAAGAAAAAAAACGAAAACAGTAACATACTTTTCTATATCTGTACGATCTGTGAGATTACAATTATGCTTTGATTCCAAAATGTCATGCAAAATTAATGTATTTTTTGATCATTTTATTTTCAATAAATTACTTGAAACGGTTTACTTAATTATATTATAAGGATATGTCTTTATTGTTTTTAATGTCCTTATAAATATTTCATGAAATAATTTCTGATTGAGCAAGTAAATTCATCTGTGATTCAACTGTGTGGGGCCCTCATAGAAAGTTATGTCTGTCGGCCAAATATGGGCGCCGAGGCAGTCGATTCTGTTTCCATCCGGTTTCTTTATATACCCGACGACTTTACGTTACGCGCGACAAAAGTCCGCCGGCCCCGAGGAGTCGTCCGGGCAACAGCGAGATACTTTTGTCGATCGACTAGAGTCGACCGTCTACCGGGAGATCATGAACGCCCAGACAGTCGACGTCGTTGATGGCTGTGGGGGAAAAGGAGGATAGACGCACGCGAGTTTGTGGGTCATTCGCATTCGGTCGAGCTGGGTGCTACAGCACGGAGCACCGTGGAAACGTACCAATGAACTCCACGCGAATAGGTTGTCAGGAACATGAAAGAGTCGTACGTGTCTCTCTCTCTCTTTCTCTCTCTCTCTCTCTCTTTGGATGCGCGTAACCATTCGGACTGTCCCCCGTGCATGTGCAGCGTGCATTCGAATCACTTATCTATGAGTCTGTGTTAAATAGGCAATTTATATAATACAGCTCGTTCGCCGCTCATCCGAGCTGTCTCTATCGCTCGTTCGATCGCTAAGCGAGCGGTTGCCCTTCGGCGTCCCGTGGACCAACCACTCAGAACCGGAACCAGAACCTCGACAAGAGTAGTCCTCGAGAACACGAAAGAAGAAAAACACTCGAAATAATAAATCATCTCAGAATTTAGAAATATCTTGCTATTAAAAAATTTTTCTCATTTTTAATTATTAAATAATCGGCTTGATCAGGTCAAGAATCTCTCTCGGGGTTTCCGACTTGGTCCAGTGACCCTCCGCCGTTTATAACGAGTCGCGGTTCCGATCCGCCACGGCCGTGGGGAAAGAGAAAGAGAAGGAGATAGAAAGAGAGAACGGGTTGACCGCTCCGCTATCCGCGGGCCGAGAGATCCGCGGCCCGCGGCGCGTTCGTACGCGCGCGGCTTGCGAGTGCGAGTGCGTGGAAGGATAGTGGGGCGCAGTGATGCGCGGAGCGGCCACTCCGCAGCGCTCCCCTTTCAAGAGGAGCGCATAAGACGGCGGGAGGCAGGTCGGAGCCGGTGATCTCCGGACCGCGGACCGCGAGAGCGATGCAGCGCGCGGCGCGGTACTGCGCTCCGGACTCCGGACCGGCTCCTCGGCGTGATGCCGCCCTGTGCCGGGGGGTCCCCGAGAACTGGCCTGCTCCACGATCGACGTTTCCACAGACCACGTCATTGCGCGCGTGGAGGAACACCGGGCCGACGCGCGACGAGACGTCGGCGTCGACTGCGAATCGCGAGGAGAAGGGGAATGATGAAAATCCGACCCGCTGAAAAAGAAAATAATGATTGTCATCGTGTATGATTTTGAAACATGCTACACCCGACTGCCCCGACTGTCTTCCTCCTTTAGACTTTTGAGAGTCCCTCCAAATATCTCGCTGCTGTAATAAATTTTATTACGATATAATAAATTACGCATTGTCCGATATATGCATATATATGTGTGTGTATTATTCAGTTATTCAGACACATGCCACGTGGTCTTCCTGTGATCGCTTTGTTGTTTAATTTACTCATATGTTTACGTTTTGATATATGTACGTTTTAGTATGATCAATTTTATGACAAACATCGCACTGTGAATCATATTAGAATCTTCTAATTTAATGAAATATTGCCATATCAAACTATTTCGTCTACCGTGTTCCTTTGTGCACTTTATCAATTGTCTTGTAATGGATTAAATGCGTTCTTAAATGTTGCCAGTGAATTTCATCAATTTTCTTGCACATTTTACATTCTGCCTTAAAATTCTTTAATAAAGTATAGTGTTTCAATAAATAACTACTTAAACCATCTAAAATCTAAACTCTGCGTTGCCATCCTCTTAATGGTACAGCCTCTGTATCACTTAAATACGATACAAAAGCTATTTCACGAAGAAATGTCGGGAAACATATTTAACACATAATAAATACAAAGCGGATAATTACTCATTAAGGACATTTGTTCCTTTCGTCATTTGAGGCGAATTCTTAGATGAAGCTGCTGAGTCTATTTTACTGCCCGAATCATCAATATCGTTACTTGAACTTGAATTGGTTTTTCTATATTTATATATGGAGATCAAAGAAGTAAGAAATGTGCCATAACAAATTAGTTCTACTTATACACGCTACTTTGTTTAGAGGCAAAAATCGTTTTTAAAGCAATGTTTAATGCATAAAATTTATTTTTATATATTGTATAATAAATACAAAGCGAATAATTACTCGTTAAAATCATTTGTTCCTTCTGTCATTTGGAGCGAATTTTTGGATGAAGAGGCTGAGTCTTCCTGATGTTTCACTTCTTTTACAGTCGTATCTATATCTGAATCGCTGCTCGTGTCATCAACTTGGACTGGTTCTCCTACATTTATATTCAGAGTGATTAATGAAGTAAGAAATACAATGAAGAAATTAGTTCCAATTGTGCACATTATTCTGAATCTATTAAGAAATTTTATTATTCAGACATTTAGAAACAATTAAGTGTCTAACTCAAATATTTTACAGATTTGATAATTTTTGATCATAAATACTATATAATTATGATATATAGGTATGCCTTGATCAACACTCGTATCTCCGCTACATTTTCTTTAGCTATCGATTGTTTCATTATTGTCAATTTTATATTTTTCAATATTTTAATTAATTTTTTAATGTACTTACCCATGAGATTTATTCAGATGAGAAACAAATGTATTATATATTCCATCTTCTTGCTTAAATGGATGACCACAGAGTTTACATTTCCCCATAATATCATCATTCTTATTAGTTATTAAGTAATCCCATCTCCAATCGAGTCTTTTATCTTTGTGCTCTGTTTCTGTTAATTCGTTTTCATGTACATTATGCAAGTGGTTATGTAACGCACGCGGGCGTGTAAAATCAACTACCGCAAAACAATTACGACATTTTGCCGCATAATTCGTTAATTTTGAGAAATGTTTCCGTACGAAGCGACGTACCGGGATCTTTTCTTTATTCACATCATGTTCCATATTATGTACGGATTCTATAATATGATGTACGAAATTATATTCTAAATGATGTTTGCGTGATAAATGCTTTTTTAATTGTATCATTATTTTCTCAAACGTTGAAAACCTTTTACTTTTATATACAAAAATCGCGTCACAATATTGGCACATTAATGTAGGAATGTAATGTTCAAGCACAAAATCATATTCTGTTTTCTGCTTTGCCATTATAACCGTTTTGCGAACCGTATTGCGAAGCACTAGATACTAAATACAGAGGTACAGAAACCACGTGAAGAACCGCGTTTACGAAAACAGCGGTGTGACACTCGTCAGAACGTAAATATTGATATGTAGTTTGAATCCGTCTAATTGTCAGATCACAGCTCTACTTCTTATATCGATCACTTATTTTAAACTTATATTAAAACACAATGCTTTACAATTAAAAAACGAAACTAGCTTTATATACATATGGCAAAAATTAATGTCATTATTTTACAATTAATATAATCTTAGAAAAGTAATGAATATTTAACTAAATTTAAAACGGGTTTAAAACATTTAAAGTTTAATCGGAAAATTATTGTGTAATGAACTCTGTTTGGATTGTTCATTTCATCATTTGTTTAAATGCATATGATATTATATCATGTACAACTTCCTGTTTATGTTGAAAAAATTTACATCGGGAAATATTACTTTACACGCAGTATTTAATGTATCGGCAAGGTCAGCATAAATTAAAAATTCTGATTTACTCTCCACCGGTCGAATAAATATTATCTGTTAGTGACATTTATATCGTTGCTTTTAGTTTCGTAAGAATATAATAGAATGTACTTTATCGTATCTATAATTCTTCGTTAGTTCTTATATATTTCGACGTTATTTATATTTTGCACGCAATTTGCTATTTTTCCTGACTTTGATAGTGAACGGTCTCATCATCGCCGTTTCGTTCTTCTTCATTCACGGCGCAGGAAGCAGCGGAGGAGAGTGTCAGCCGTATAGGTACGCGCAACGCGACGGTTCGCGCGGAGAGAGGGAGAAAAAAAACGGAGCTAAGCGGAGCTGTGTGATTTCGGATCGGCGGGAACCGGCCTGTTCCGTCTTAGGATGCTCGCCTGATCCTCGGGGAGCCTCGCGGTGTAGAAACCGGTCAAGGAATGCGTGTAACGCGTGTACGTACACGTCACGCCCACTCGTCGTCCCCGTCACGTACGAGGCTCGACGGTGTTCGCATACGCGCTCCGCTGGCGGCCTGCGCGCGTGTTGCGCGTGTCGCCGCGCCGTATTGCCGTATTGTCGTATACACGTCGGCACGCCACATACGTGGTCGCACGAGGCCGATCACGAGCGTGTGCGGAGCGACGCGGACGCAACGACATGACGCGCGCGCGGACCGGAGACGCGCACGTGCGTCTCCGCGTGCGTGCGCGCGTGCACCGACACGGAACACGCGGCCGAAGACGATTGTCGGAAGCCGAGCGAGCTGCCAGGAAACTAGCAAGAGCGACAAGATTCGCTCTAGGAATTTCGCGGCGGGAGGGGATAGTTTGTGGCTCGGGGGTATCTCTAGTTAATAGTTGAGATGCACCGAGATAAAATATAAATAGAAGCCTTGATCCTCTCTCGATGCACTGTCATATATTGATTATTCCATAAAATACATTTCGTTGGATACACTCGTTAGAAGTGGACGTGCTAAAGGACACAAAATAATTAATTTATGCGTTGATATTCATTCGCGTAATTTATCCTGCGCGACAAATGTATTGACGACTTCTAATCATGAAAGAATTATAAAACTTGATTCGTTCTTTTACGAAAGCACAGAACATATAGTTAAATGTGAAACGTTCCTAATAACTTTACGTTACGATTATATTCATTTAAAAGGGTCGTGTTATACAAACAGAATATTTCTAACGGCGATAAAAAAGTGTAAATTCTATGAATTATTTTCCAAGAAGTATTTTTCTCGTAGCCCCGAAGTTTTGTCCGGCTTGTGTAGCTCCCTTATTAGTACCAGCTTGCAGGCCGATGAGTCCCTCGCCAGCCCTCAACTGCTCCTCCGTGAAGGCCCTCTTGTTCTCCTCCGCTGGCTTCGGACCCAGCCAGGGACCACGCCATTCCGGATGCTTATATGTCTGTAAATTAGCATAAAGAATGCACATTTTCCTCTTTGATTACCTAATATAGTTAAAATGGTAAGACACAATCTTAAAGTACATGCTTAATTCACAGATATTAATTACTCCAGATTTGCAAAACAAGATTCTAAAAATGTATCATACATATTTATCCGAAACATCTTTCTTAAAGGAATCTTCAGATTTTCTAAATGCAATAAAGTATCAATTTAATATACAAATAACAAGATGACGAGGCTGTCGTTAATTAATTACCGTCCGTCCGATAGCGAAGATGGTATTCGTCACTTGAGCAATATTTTTACGTTCAATCAGGTCGACAGCTTGGAAGAGATCAACGTCGGGTACTCCATATTTCACACAGGCTTTCTGGAACCTGAAAAACAAATCAAAACACACACTTTTATTAATATAACCAAGTATACGTTACATAAATTCGATAGAGAGATGAAAGACGTTACATAGTTTCGCACGTTTTAATTTAATAAACGGAATATTTCTAAAAATTAACGCGGAAGAGACATCGAAGAATCCCTGCGATAAGGAGGAGTCGTGGGACACACCATGACGGCAAGTCTGAAGTCGGAGGGAAGACAAAGGCGGGGGAGAAACAAAAGAGAAGCACTCCTTTATACGGCTGTTCGCCTGGGCATCGCCTTGAGCTAGTGACGCGCTTCTATTGTTCGGTCGCTAATTATCGCCGCTTGGTAATTAACGGGTTGTGCGATACGCAACCGCTTGGGAGGTACGACAAGGCGATGGCCTTTGTTCTCCGCGCTGCAGAAATGACGTGTCGCGTGTGCCTGTTTAACAGGATAGCAGAATCACCCTCCGTTTCCAGCGTCGAAGACAATGTCGTCGCCTCGTCAATCACGCTTACCGCGAATGCATCGCTCTCGTAAACGCGAGATCATTTACACATAAAAAATACGAGAGTTCGCCTAATTCACGAAATTTACATTTGTCATTCTCACATATCGTCATTAATACTCACATCAGTTCGAATTTTTTTACCAAAGGCGATTTCAATCTTTCAATCTATACTAATCGCGCTTGCAGAAGAATTAAAGATGATCCATGAAAGACTGTAATGTTTTCAGCTTCGCGCCGGATGATAAACGTGGGATGTAAAGGCGGATGGAGTCGCGTCCGTAGCGTCGCGCGAGAAAGCACTTGACACAGTTGACACGTGAGAAATATTTGGCATACGCGCTAAACATACCGTCGCGTATTTTAGCCTGCTCATTTTGATGTGTTCCTGACGCTTGACGCGTCTTCCGCATATGAGGCACTGAATAACGAAGCGTTTTATCTTGCGCGACGAGTGTCGTGGAGTTAAATCAATTCAAGAAGAGAGACGTGTCGTGTCGACCCTCTTAAACGAGACTTTACGTTTTCCAAGCTCGACGAGAGCATACGGAAGAGTACAAAATTTTTAATATGCTTTGTGATACATTGTTTTATTATAGGAAGCTCTAACAAAGTGGAAATGCATACATAGTATTTTATATAGTAATACTAAATGCATTTAATTATAATTATAATGACTATATATATATTTATCAAAAAAATATACATATATATAATCTATATATATTTATGTAACAAATGTGATATGTAATATACATTTCTTATATAATCATATATGAATAATTACATATTTAAAATTATACATTAAATAATTATTAGAAATAATATAAAATAATATAAAAGTCGCTGGTTTCGTACGTCTCGCGTAAGAGTCATGTCGGAAGAAGCGCGAAGGAAGAAAGACTAGAAATTTTAACAATAAATAGACATTTTATTGTTGTTCCCACAAAATAGCGGACTATTTCGTCAGAATCTATAGCTGCACTGCGTATCGATCAAGCGTGGACCTGTTGCACTCGTCAAGCAGAGAGCGTGAGGCAGGTCAGTGCTCACGAGCGGTCGGTCTATCAGAGCCGCATGAGGGGGCCTCGTCTCCGCGCCGGTCGCGCGGCACGCGAGGTCCCTCCTCGCCGTGCAGCCGGTGCAGCGCAGCGGTACGCGTGATCTTACACGTTCCGCGAAGACGCGACGCGCGGTAGGTAGGTGGCCGGTGGGTATCGGCGGTGGTGGCGGTGGTGGCGGTGGCGGCACAGCGGCGGCAACATATCCACCTTCACCGAGATCATACTGCTCGCGTAGAAAGGGAGTAACGCGGAGTGGCCGCGCTGCGCATCGTTCGCCCCACTACCTCGGGGACGCGCTCTTAAACATTCAAAACGCGCCAAACGCCCGAAGAAGCGCGACATGCGCACGGCAATGCGCCCGACGCCGACGGCGACGGCGACGGCGACGAGCGCGAGACAGTGCGCGGACGTGCGCGACGGGCGCGCGCGTCCCTCTCGAGAGAGGGAGGTGGTCGAGGTTGCCGAAAGAGAGATCGCCGCGTCCGCGGGAAACGCGCCTGCTAACGCTCCCTGCTCCCGACAGGCCGAAGGGAATAATCCCCGTTTGCCTCGAGCGAGATAAAAGGGGGAGAATGCGGAAAAGCGCAGGGCCACCCGAGGGTGCGCTTCTTTTTGCGCTGTCCTAAAATCACCTCCTCGCAGGCAAATACTTCATCAGGATTGTAGCAATGCGCTACAGGCGTTCGACTCGGATATCCTATTTTCGGGTTGCGAACCGGCCACGTCATAGATATAGCTAAACGATTGCCTACATATATATACATAATATATTTGTCGCGAAAAACGTGCGACGCAAAAAGCTTAAGAATAAAGGGACATTTAATTCCCAGGAAGAAAGGAGTACTGTATACGTAATAGACTTTATGACGTACGGAAACTGCGACTGACAATTAAAAATTCTTGCGACGAGCTTTCAGTAAAAAGTTTTGATTTTCCAGACTGATCATCAATCGATTAATTTGTAATGTATTAAGCTTTTTTATGCGTTTATAATTCGAAGGATATTGATGTATGGAAGAAGAGCACGAGGAGCGTGATATAACGACGTAAAGATTCGCGGTTTTCTATTATCCGCGCATTCGGCAACGAACTACGCTACGTGTCTACAGTATACATATATCTATCGATGTTTTCACTTTCATCGCGCTTCAATCTATAGTCGATGGTCCCGACCTCAGACTTTGTCGGTTCTCGGCTGCCAGGCGAGCAGGACGCACCAGGAGCCGGGTATCCGCCGTCGCCGGGGCGTTTCGCGCCCAATCGCCCCGGCCGGGCCCCGGCGATATTGCGCGACTCTCGAAACTCGGGCGAGTCGCGCGAGGGTCAACAATCTCTCGACTCGCGACGACGGTCGTTGATCGGCGTTGTCGATACTCCGCAGTCGAGGAATTGACGCAAAACACTGTCGATTGCGTAAAGTCGACGACGGATTAGGGAACCAGGAACGCGCAGAAGGCGCGTCGGCGGCGGAGAGCGGAGACGCGGGAGACCTCGCCGTGAAGAAATTATTCACCTCGAGTCTCTCGCGGTCGTGATGGAATATCTTACATTAAGAAAAAAAAATATTGGACTTAAAAAAATAAATAACAACCGATAGATATCGATAATACAGTAAATTAATAATTAGAAATACGAACAAATTAAATAATCAATTTGATAATTCTATGTTATTGAGTATCTCTTAGCAACTCATTATTGACAAGTTTATGACGAAACTAATATCATCTCAGTCAGGTTAAAATTTAAATGAATGTTAATTATTCATAGAACATTTACATCAATTTCTACCAATATACGCAGATTAATTTACTTTAATCTCGGTTTAACTCACGTTTTATCTTTTCTTAGTTCTAAGAATTAGAAAAAGATAAAAAGTAAATAAAACCGAGATTAAAGTTTTAATCTGCATTGATAGAAATGAAGATTAATGGGTAATACAATCTTATTTTGTTATTATTATTACATTACGGTTCTTTCATATGGTTTATTTACTCTTTAAATAATTTCTCATATTTTTTTGAACGGGTTTACTGTTTTCAATTCATTGTAACGCGATACTCACTGATTAAGGTTATCCATCATCTTGTAATCCCCACCGGATGTATTGATCTTGGAGATCAGGCCGGGCTGCAATTTGTTCATGAGCATGCAGAGCAGAACGCCATCCCTCAGAGCGTCTTCATAACTCACGCCTGTAAAAAAACGTGCCAATGTATACATTACATTTCATCGTTTAGAATGAGTATAATTTTTATAACTGAAGAGAAATATATCATGAGCAAACCAGCTGTACGATTTAGATGCGATAAAAAATGATTAGACCGTCAGTTCAAAACATTGCCTCAACAGGTATGCAAAAGAATTTGGAGGGGTAAAAATCACAGTGGTGTAAGTCAAATTTTTAAAAATATTTTTTCATGTACATAGATGCAATTTATATATTGTATAGAGTGCATCATATGCACGCGAAAAAAAATTTAAAAAAATTTGATTTACACAACTATGACTTTTACCCCTCCAATTATAGACGAGTTATTTATACGGCAGTCCATAAGATAGTCAAAGATACTTAATAAATGTCGTCTTGATCACAGATGGGCGCGAGATATTTCTCTCAGAATCTCGAGGAAGATCTCTAGCAAAGATTACGAGAGAAAGATCTGAAAGCCTGGTATGCTTTATTTACATTTAGCGCATTAAAGACGTCGCGCTTATCGGCCGCATTGCCCGCATTTACACGGAGAAAGCCTCGAGAGAAAAGGAGAGCGATTTCGCCCGATGGCGAAAAGAATGCTGATGACCACGGCGGCACCAGGATCACAGAAGCGACATTCGCCCTTCCCGCGGCCGTCGCCGAAAATCACGCGCGGTTTCAGGACAGGAGGGCCAGGGGCTTGCGCGATAGAGCCGCAGCGACGAGCTTTGATTTTCGCGCGGTGAATCCGGCGGTGTTTTATCAACGTCAAACGCGGCCACGTGCCTTCCCTCTGCCATCGGCCATTTTTTCGCTCGATACACCGCGCGCTGAGTGGATACCCACCACCCCTTCTACCGTCCGTCGTGCCCCTCCTTGTCGCGAGAGCCAACCCGCCCAGTCGGGGGAAGAGAGAGAGAGAGAGAGAGAGAGAGAGAGATCGAACGGATTCACCGCGAAATAATAACCGCGAACGAGAGACCGGGTCGGATATGTGCAACCAGCGCTCGCTCATGGCGCCCCATTATGCCAAGAGGCGAGCCAAGGGGGCATGGCATTTTTTGTCACGTCGGACGAAGAATCAGGAAAGGCCGGCCGCGTCTTGCGGGCGCGCGCACTTTTTGCTCGCTTTGATCGGCGGTAGCGTCGGCCCCGCGCGCCGCCGCCGCCGTCGGCGTCTTCCCCGTCGGTGGCCGGCGGCCTCCGGCGCGACCGGGCGTCTCGCCGCGACGCGATGCGCGGCCCGTCGCCATTCGAAAGACACAACGCGTCTCGGGCTCCTAGGGGCGCAGCCCGCCGCAGGAGCCGTGCGTTACCGCGTCGAGCTGTCATTGCGTTTTTTTTGCCGCTGCCTCCCTCCAACCACCCACCCCCCGCCCCCACCCCCTCACGTCAACGATACAACCAGTGTATCGATGTATCCAATCTATCGGCGCGCGACGCTGCCGCCAGCCGCCGCCCCTCCCACCATCGCCGC